TAATTCCAGGTACATCGAATCACGTCCAGGTATACCCAGAGATCTCCAGGGAAGGCTGCAGCGACTCGCGGCCGCTCCGGCGCGAGTCGAAGGATGGCAGAAGTCGTTAAGCCTTTAACGACGGTGGCTCGCGGGAGGCTTCGCGTGAGGAGAAGGAGGACAAGGGAAACTCGCGTTTCAAGAGCTGCGCGGCGCCTCTCCAGTCGCGAGGAGCCTGGAGCACTCCGCGACGGAAGCCGCCACCAGCGGCGCCGCGGTGCTCCTGCGAGCATGCACGTACTCGTCCAGGTCCCCGAGGGCCCGTCCAGGTCCGTCCCGGTACGCCTTTAAATAAAGAAGTCGTTAAGCTTGTATCGCCCCCCGGGCGGCCCGCGGGAGGTCCGCGAGCAGGAGGCCGAGTCGGGCCGGCTGCGGGCGGAGCTGCAGAGCTCGAGGGGCGCGCTCGCGGCCGCGCAGGCCCTTGCCGCGGGCGGGCGGCAGCTTGGGGCGCGCGCGGTAGGGAGGAGGAGGAGGAGGAGGAGGAGGAGGAGGAGGAGGAGGAGGAGGAGGAGGAAAAGCACTCCCCCTGGCGCGCACGCACTCGGAGGAGAGCTGTTCGTACGCATTCCCCTCTGAGATCCTGGCGTCTCATTGTTTTCTAGCCATGCGTTTTCGGATATGCTTTTTCTGGCCCTGGGACCCTCACAGATCGATCAGGCTCAGAAAATGGAGCAGAGAAATTGGGCCTAGGACTCCCGCCGTGATTTTGCACGATGTTGCAATTTGTACATTGTTTCGCTACGTCGGATCGCAGGGGTTAGCAAGAGCTCATGAGCAAGAATGGCTTCGGTAAGGAGTCCTTGGTCAGCAGTCCTTTGGTGAGGGATCCTTAGCGAGGGTGCTTGTTGCACGCATTCGTTAGCAATAGCTAATTTGTAAGAACGCCTGCATCAAGGAGTCCTTAGTATGCATTTCTTCAGTGAGGTATCCTCAGTGAGGGTGCTTGTCGCACGCATTCGTTTGCAAGAGTTCATTAGTAGAAACGCCTGCATCAGTGAGTCATCAGTAAGGATTCCTTTAATAGTGAGGGATCCCTCGTGAGGGTGCTTTGCGCACGCATTCGTGAGTAAGGATGTCATTGTCAAGGAGTCCTTGGTAAGCATCCTTTTCAATTCGGATTCCGTAGTGCGGATGACGACAGTAAGGGCCTCTTCTGTAAGGATCACAGCAGAAGGGGTGTTTTAGTCATGCGTCATGTAGTAAGTGTTCCGTAGCGAGGATGCTTTTAGTAACGGATTTGGGGTAAGGCTGTTTTTAGTAAGGCCGTCTTATTGAGCATGTTTTTATTAAGGATCCCCGCAGTAAGGATTCCTGCCGCAAGGACTCCGAACTAAGACTGCATCTGGCAGGGCATATGTTATAATAATGCCTTCGACTTGAAAAAGGATGCCTTTGCCAGTCTTTGTGTTCGGGGGGCAGCACAAATGAACAAAGAAACAGCGTAACAGCCCACCAGCCAGGTGGTCGTTTGTTTATTGATTATTTTGCCGATCGGCGTGGGTCCCCAACCCCCCCTCCCTTCCCCCCCTCCTGGAGTAGATCTTGGCTGTTTTTTGCCGCCTGCTTCGAGCGGGTGGAATCTCCCCCAGAGGCAGCACTCCTGCAAACAGTCGCACTAAGCAGAAGTCTGGAGCCAGACCCCCCCCCTTCCCCCCCCTTTTCTGCCCGATGTCGAAACGCCGAATCAGAAAACGCTGACCAGCCATCCACCACTGAACTGCGGCTGAGGGCTCGGGAGAGGTCTCCGCGGACGGACGGACGGGAGGTGTGCGGATGCCTCGAGGAACGCTGAGGTCGTGGCTTGGGCCCCCGCGCATCCGCACCCTTGACATGGGAGAGCGAAGAAACGGCGAGACCACCCCCGAATAATAGACATAACGCATTGTTAGAATCGAAGACGGAGAAACGCCATGAACAGAAATTGCTGGCGTTCCGGGAGGGGGGGTTCGACCCCGAACCCGCTGACACTACACAAGTCGCACAGCACAGATGCACCACCTGTATACGCACACACCCATGGGAGATCCCGGCCCCACGGCCCCAGGCCCCCCCTCCCCGCCCCGGGGCGCTCTCTGGGCCGCCCTCTGGCGCCGCTCCCCAAGCGGCCACGATAGCCTCTGGGCACCGGGGAAGCTCCCACGACGCTCTCAGCTTGCCCCAAGAGCGCTCCAAGACGGCAGCACGTGACATCCCAACAGCTCACGAGACGCCCCGATAGCCCCAGGAGGCTCCTTAAGACAGCCTCGCGAGGCCAAAAATAGTCGAACTCTTGAGGGTTAACGTGCATTCTCACCACATTCATTTCTTCAGTCTTCACAGCGTCGAAGAGAGCCCAAGAGACCCCCAAAGTCGCCCCTGGACGGCCAACGAGGGCCCCAAGGAGGTCCCAAGACGGCCCAAGATGGCCTCAAGACGGCCCAATAGTTGGGCCCCCAAGACAGCTCAGGAGGGCCTCAGAAGAGCTCCAAGAAAGGCCCACGACGGGGAACCCGAGCTGAGATTTCGAGCCCTCCGCCCCAATATAACCCCCGAGGCCGCCCGGAGGCAGGAGGCCCTCCCAAGAGGCGCCGAGGCGCTTCAGTCCAGCCCGGCAGGCCAGGAGGCTCCCAGAGGGCTCGGGCGCCGGCGCGCGCGCCTGACAGGAAGGGAAAAAACACACAGACACAATCAATCGTCGATTCCCAAGAAAATATAGGAAAATATGGGAATTGGGCGGGAAGGCAGAAACCCAGAAAATATGGGGGAAATACGGGGAATCCTTTTACTTGTGTGTATTTACTTGTGTGTACTTGGGCCCCTTGAGCCTCGCCAGCTCGGGCGTCACCATAGGGGGCCGATGCCGCTACTCCCCAGAGCTCTCCTGGGGTGCGTGCTGACCGAGATTTCGACGCGAACCCAACCGTGGTGACGAGAGCCTCCCAGCCCCAAGAGGCGAAAGCGAGGCAAGGGCAGCAGCATCGGTGCCTCCCCCCCGCTAAGCTTGGTGTATGCTTCGAGCCCCGGAGCCAGAGACCCCACCTTTCTGAAGCATGTTCCGAGCCGCTTCGATCTGTGATGGCCTTGGGGTCCGAGATAGGGCAAAGTCGCCGGGCGTGAGTAGAATCAGGAGGAGGGAACACACACAGACACAATTAAACGTCGACTCCCAGGAAAGTATGGGACAATATGGGAAGTGGGGGCGAAGATGAAAATCCAGAAACTATTATAAAGCATTGGGAATATTGTTATTTGTGTCTGTTGATTTATGTGTCCCTGGGCCCCTTTATAGAAGCACGACGCCAGGATCTCAGGCCTGGTGCAGGAATTCGAGCCCCTCCCTATGGCGGAAAACACGGAGGCCTCGCGCGGCGCGCAGAAGTCGTGTCATCCTTTCTGCACGTCTGCTCCGCAAGAGATGGGTCGACGTTCGCGCGGCGATACTCCGACATAAATCTGAGGTGCATACATGAAAATGTACATACACAATCAAGCAGTGGCGAATCGTCCTGGCGTGCCTATAGGCCAACCAAACAATGTTCGAAGAACCTTTTGTGGTTTAGACGAATTGTTCTTAGAACATGTCTGGCTGGGACTGTCTTGTTTTAACACATTGGGTTGAAATTATCAGAACACTGTTTATGTTTTTGTTCTTCTTGAACAGTTTGGGTGTCTAAGCACATGTCGTGGTAGGCCCATAGGAATGCCTGGACGGTCGGCCCCTGCTCACCATAAACACATGAATAAAGCCGGGGTGCCGGGCGCCTGGGGCCGGGGCGGGGACGTCTTCGGGGGTTTTCTGCCCCATTTGTGCCCACGACATGATGGACCCATTAACTGGGGCCTCGTGTGCTTCCCCCCGCCGCTCAAAATTGCCCCGGAGGCCACCGAACAGCGACCAGAGCGGCCTGGCAGGGCCGACGGAGCCCGGATATTGCTTCAAGACGGCTCAAAAGGCCCCGAAGATGCTCTGAGGAAGGCCCCGAGATGCGCCGCCCCGAGAGGGCACCAGGAGACCAAAATCGTTTCATCCCGAGGGAAGCGAACATTTCTAGCACATTCGCACTCTGGGTTTTAACGGCGTCCAGAGCGGCCCAAGAGGCCCCACAAATCGCCTCAAGACGGCCCAAGAGGCTTTCAAGAGGGCCCTAGGACGGCCCCAGAGGGTCCCAAGACGGTCCACCGCCCAAGAGGCCCCAAGAGGAATCCAAGAGGTGGAATTCGAATTGACATGTCGAGCCCTCCGCCAGGAGTGGGCCCCCGAGAAGCCAGAAGAAGTTTCAAATTCGTCCGTAGCAATGTCGGCTCAAGGAGCCGTCCAGCCCAAGCCTGGTTGGGGGCATGGTGCGTTCCCATTTCGTCCGAGCCCTGTCGAGCACAAATGTACGGATAAGCTTTTGAGTAAGGCCATCGGCGGGCGCGAATTCGTCATCTTGGATGCCGGCCGGTCCTGGCGCTTGCAAGAAGTGCTCAGCTGGATCCCTTGGGAAGGTGGGAGGCAGGTCCGCAGGTGTCGCGCCTTCTTGGGAGAGGTGGAGCTCCGCGGGAGCGACGCTCTGAATGACAGTGGCGTGACCCGGGCACTCTTCGCAGCGTCCACGTGCGGAGGCGCGGCGGAGAGCTGGTCCCCCGCGCCAGGGAGCCGCTTGCGCGTTCTGGCCGGCCACGGAGCACACCTCAAGGGCTCCCACGAGGGCGCGAAGTTATTCGCGCTTCGCGGTCCTCGTTCCTTCTCCCCCTCCTCCTCGTCCTCCTTTTCTCCCTTTGGGGGGGCGGCGCGAGAGCGCGAAGTTATTCGCGCTTCGCGGAGCGCGAGGCGCGAAGTTGGGAGCCCTAGACACCTGCAAACGGCCACGCTCTGGCCCGATCGTCTGTGTTCGGGGGCGGCAAAGAGGGGGGTGATGACCAGGGGGGGGTGGATATCGTGGCGGGGGCCATGATATTTCCTCAGATTTCATGGCGCCTCTCCTTATTCCATTGGACACCCCCCTCTTGGCCGCTTCCGATGTGTGTGGTGGCTGCGTCTGCGGATGGAACTCCGAAGATCTGGTCCGTTTCGCCAGGGGAGTGCCTCCGCACTCTGGAGGGCAGCGCTGGCCAGATGGCATTCCGCAATGGTTCGCCGAAGCGGCAGCGAGGTAGTGGCTGTCTCCATTGACGGCGCGACGAAAGCGCGGTCCACCGCGCCAAGGGAGTGCTTGTGCACGCTCGGGGTTGAAGAGGACAAAGTGGGCAGCGCAATATTTTCGTCCACTGGGCAGGAGGTCGTGACAATATAACAACTTGTAGCACCGCATAATTGGTTAATCTCCTCGGGAGCATGTCTGCGCGCGCTATCGCGCGAGTAGTAAGTAAAAGGCGGCGTGTTCTCGAGCAGCGGCCAGGCGATGCTGGCCCTCTCGCGTGGCGGGCTTGCCAACGATGTGGTCAGCTGTTTCTGGGGAGTGCCTGCGCGGTCCTGGCGCCAGAGGGCTTGGATGAGCGGCTCTATGCCGCACTGCCCGCACGAGACGGGCAAGAGGTGCTGACCAGTCCGGAAACGCTTTCGCGAAGATGTGGTCCGTCGCCACGGGAGAACGCCTCGGCGTCTGGCAAGGGCGCGAGGGCGCCGTCCCGCCGCGGCCCGCGGCCTGCTCGCCCGACGGTAGCGCTGTGCTGATGGGCTCCGACAGCGGCGCGTCGGGCATTCGGCTGGTTGCTACTGGGGAGTGCCTCTGCACGCTGCAGGGCCACGAGGGGCGCGAGGTCTTTGCTGCGTTCTCACCCGACGGGCTGGAGGCGTCGACGACTTCCGGGGGGGGCGCCGCGAGGATTTGGTGTGTCACCGCCGCGGGCTGCCTTCATGCAGTCGAACGCGTCATGCCGTTCGCCGCGTCCTACTCGCCTGTCGGACAGAACGCGCTGGCGCCATCACCCGACGGCACATCGATTATACGATCCGCGTCTGGGGAACGCCTCCATCAACTGCAAGGCACCATTGCTAGTTTCACATCGCGTGCGTTAGGTCGTCTTTCAGGATGCTTAATTTGTTCCATGCTACAGTTTGGTTGTTTCGAGGGCACTCTCTTGGCATGAACGCGGCAAGCTCGACGATGCGTGGAGGAGGAGGCGCGGTGGTGGCGGGGCGGGGTGCGGGGGGGGGCGAGGCTTCGTACGTTTCAGCGCGCGCAACCATATTTGATCCGCAGCACTCGCTGGATGCAGGTGCGTTTCCTCGATATGTTGTTCTGCGACTGCGGCTGCAGCGCGCTGCCAAGCGCCGTCCCCGTCCTCGGCCGTCTTGGGGGCTTCTCTTGAGGCCACCTAGACTGCCCAGCGGCTGCCCAGCCTGAACTTCCCGCGGCTTTTCTCCTGTCCTCTTTCTCCTCGTCCTCCTCTTCCTGTCGCATCCCTCCAGGGTGCTTTACCTTGCCAGCTCGCTGGTCGGGCCATCCTCCCCCTCGCGGGATCTGTATTCGCATGGTCGTGATGGCGCGCCCCCCGAGTACTCATGAAGGAAGGGGCATTGCTTGAAGGCGGGGCGCGGGGTCAGCGCTCTGGGGCGAAGTGGCGCGGGAGCTCGGATGAGCGAGCGCATGTGCGCGCTCGCGGGCAGGAGGTCTGCAGCGGCGCAGCAGCTCCCTCGCGCAGGCGCCGTCGTCGGGCCACGGGCGGTTGGAGTACGGCCGCGGACGCAGTTCGACGGGTACCTCGCTTCAAATTCGCGCCACTCCGTCGCGCAGCTGCGGCCCCGGCATGCTGCCCTGCTCACGGCCCACGGCCGCGTGCTCGGGTGCCCTCCAACGTGGGGCCTTCGCTCCCTGTGAAGCTGTTTCGTCGCGCGGCTTCTAGGAGCGGCCTTCGGCCTAGCCTTCGCCTTTACAAAGAACAATCTGTATACGATCATTTACAATAGTTCTAATGCGAGTACGAATAATGATAATACGCGTACGAAAATCAACAACAGTACCGAACTAAGATACGAATGAGTTTCAGAACTCGTTCCGCGAGGCGCCCGGGAAGCATGCGAAGTGACCCCGTCTTACACGTGTCTCCGAATCCTCTGGCTCAGAATTCATGCAGAGTAGCGGTATGGGCCGAAGGCCATAGATAAGCAAGCAATGGGTTTGGCGACGGACCCATCCCTACGCAGTCATGTGTAGTGCAGGGCGCGGGTCTCTCTTCGTGCATTGCGCGCCGCGGGGCAATGCGGAAAGATGGCTGCTGCGGAGCACGCGCGCACGGGTGCGCTGAATTCTTCGTGGGGCGCGATCCGCGTGAAGGGCCGCGCGAACACGCCCGCTGAGGCCGCAGGTAGACCTCTTCCAGGCACGCTCCGTGCGAGGCGTATTCCGATATGGGCGGGGGAGCGCCATGCGAAGCTGCCCAGTGGTGCCATAGGTGCAGCCCCTTTCTGGGGCACGATTCGCGCGAGAGATGTGCAGACATGGGCGGGGGGGGGGTGGTGCGAATCCTGTCTCTGGCCTTTCGGCGGTGCTCCTCGTGGGCGCGATCCGCACGATGGGGTGTGCCGCAATGGCCGGGGGGGGGGGCGGGGCGCAGAGCGAGCCCTGCATCTGGGGCCGTAGGTGGAGATCCCTGTGGGCCACGATTCGTGTGAGAGGTGTGCCGAAGTAGGCGGGAGGGCGGGATGCGAACCTTACTTACGTAATTGAACGCCCCTGAGGGGGCAGACACCGCCGCCCCACTTTTTTTTTAGAGCGCGGAGGTTGCGTGGGAGGCAGATCGGGATGTAGCGGGGGTGTTCATTCGGCTTTGGCGAGAAGCTGTAGGGTCCCGTTGGGCAAAAAACGTAGGAGAAACGGTGTCTGTTGGGAGCGTGCGCGCGCCAGGCTGTGTGATGTGAGGGTGCGGAAGGATTCAAGGCTCCGGCCCGGTTTTCTTGGACAAGAGGGTGCCAGACGGCCCGGGAAGGTACGACAGTAGGGAAGGCTCCCCCCCAGCACTCTTGGACAATAAGGTCTCAGAGGGCTTGGAAAGATACGAAAGTGGGGTCTTAAAGACTTTCAAAAAGCCCCAAGAGAGCCGGACAATTACTTAAACAAGACGCCAGATTGGACAATAAGGTCTCAGAGGGCCTGGAAAAATATGAAAGTGGGGTCTTAAAGGCTTTCAAAAGGCCCCAAGAGAGCCGGAACAAATCCAAAAAACGACGCAAGAAAGCCCTAAGAGAGTTGGAACATGATTTAAAAAGGACGCCTGAGGGTGTGCAAAAGTGTGGAAAGAGGCAGACGGAGAGGCGTACAAACAAGATGCGAGTTAGTTTGGGGGCCTCAAAAGGGACTCTGGGGACCCCCTGGGCGCGCCCAGGACGGCCCAAGAAAACCCCAAAAATGCTGCCAGACGGCCCAGGCCGGGGTCGGGAGGCGTGGAGGTCAGCCGCAGAGAGCGCCCGCTGATCCCAACGTGCTTCCAAGAGCCCGCGAAGACGCACGCGACCTTGAAACGAGGCAAGAATAGAGGCTCGACAAGGCCAGGATGGACAGAATCACGCGTGTTTTGCGATGTTGTTTGCGTGTTGTTTTTTGTAGTCGAAGTGGGCCGAGGAGAGGTGGGCGGGCTGCCAGACTGGACCAAAATGGCTTGGAGGACGGCGAAGATCGCCCCAGGAGAGCGTCTTGAGGCTTCCAAAATCGAGTCAGTTAGCTCCCGGAGAGGCCTCTGAGAGAGGCCGGCGGCGCCTTGAAGACGAACGTTTCCAACGAGGTGTGTTCTGAAGCGAAAATGATGACCAAAGAGTGCTCATTCCGCAGCTGTGGCCCCCGGGCCGGCGGAATGAGCAGGCCGCGGGGAGGACCCCGGGAGGGGTTGCAAGGGCTCTGAGGAATGGATATTGGTACGAGGAGTTCGTGCGCGCGCAGATTGAGAGGACTGAGTTCGTGCCGAAGTAGGCGGGGGGGCGGGATGCGAGCCTTACTTAATCGCTTCGCTCATCCTGCCGGCCCTGGAGCCCTCTTTAGGGCCTTTTGGCGGCCTCTTGGGGGCCTCTTGGGAGTCTCTCGGGGCTCCTTGGCGGCGTACTGGGGGCCCCCAGGGCCTCTTGGGGGCCTCTGCCCTGGGGGCCTCTTCGGGCTAGGGGGGATAGTCGATTGCGGCTCCCCTCTCGGGGGCCACGATTCTCGTGGGGGGTGTCGGAAAATTGCCCGGTCCAGCATCTCTGTCCCGGATATGCCGGGACCTTGCCGGGGTACTCTTCGCCCGGAGACCCCAAGGGCCGCCCCGCGCGCGCGAAGTATAATATTGTTAACCAGTTACCGGAGATTTTAGCGCGCCTCTGGCCCGTTGGGCCGGCGAATTGTTGGGGCCGTCCGTGGAACTCAGTGCGCGCCGCGATCCGTGCGAGACTGAGTTGCCAGAGTGAGCCGCGCGACGCTACGAAACTCTTTTCTGGCGCCGCAGGTGCATCCACTTGCGGGGCAATCAGCATGATGGTCGTGCCACGATGCGAACTTTGCCTTTGGTGACGTAGGTGGAGCTCCCTGTGGGGCGCGATCCCTGTGAGGGATGTGCCGACAGAAGCGGGGGGGCCTTAAGCCAAGTTTGTCTCTGGGGCCGCAGGTGGAGCTAGCTCCCTGACGCGCACGATCCTCGTGACAAGATTAGTCCTCCGATGCCAAACAGTTTTAATCAGAACGTGCTAGGACCTAAGCGCGCGCGAAGCGCGCCCCTGGTTCTAGTATACGCGTATGTGAGATCCTGGCCCCAAGGCCCCGGGCTGGTCTTTCCCTTGTACATTCTTGTCCCCCCCCCGGGCGGTTCTTTTGGAGGCCCCCGAGGTTCGTGGACCGCCCGATACCGTTCCAGGAGCGCCCAGGATATTCTCCTGTCCGCCCAAGGGGCCTCCAGGACGCCCCGACAGACGCCCAAGAGCGCTCCGAGACGCCCCAAGATGGCGTCGAGAAGACCCAATAGGCCTCCCAAGAGGCCCCAGGAAACCCAAATCGCCCCAACCACACGCGGGAAACGTATGTTTTTGTCGGAGACGTTTTCTCTGTCGGGTTCCGAGTTTGCCCTTCGTGGGGCACTCTCCTGAGGCGCGTGGCTCCCAACATGCCCATGTATGACCCCCCCGGAGGCCGCCAGGACGCGGCCGAGAGGCCCCCCACAGGCACCCAGAAAGCCCCCGAGAGGCCCTCCTCCTCCTCGTCCTCCTCCTCGTCCTCCTCCTCCTCCTCCTCCTCCTCCTTCTCCCCCGGCCCCCGCAGAGTCCTCTCAGGGGTTACGGCCTGTCGCAGCCGCGCATAGCGCTTGGCGCGACCATATATTCATATACGGTGCGCCGTTGTGATCAGACCTAGTGTCCTGGCAGTGTTCGTGTGATCTGACCACATCACACCAGAGGATATATTAACCAGGCAGTTTTGGTTGTGATCAGACCACATCACACCATATGATAATTAACCAGGCATGGCCGCGAAGATTAAATTGGCAAAAGAACAAATCACAAAAAAAACGGTGCGCCGTTGGAGCAGCGCGGATCAGGCTGCTACGCGATCCCGTCACAGGTTTTTCCTTTCCTCCATGCTTCCGTTCTCACCTCCAACAAGCAACGCCTTCTCGCATTTTTTCCGCCATTAACCCTCGCATCTCTCTGACCCATCCACCCTCAGCGTTCCTGTCCCCTACCTTTTACTTGCGAAATGGGCCGACGTCACCTGCGACCCACAGCCCAGCTTCCCCAGAGTCTTTCCTTGGGTTCCCCGTCCTTGTGCTAGGGTTATGGTTCCTGTGCTATGGTTCGTGTGATAAGTGATAGGAGCGTGTTTTTTTTATTGCTCTGGACATAATGGGCATTGTAGCCCCCGCCCCCCCCCCCCCTTATAACCCCCTATAACGTAACGCCCCTCCCCCCCAGCGCGCTCAGGGCACTGCCGCCGTGCGCACGGCGGGGGGGAGGCGTTACGTCATACCCTCCCTGGCCCCTCCCCCCCTCTTATAATGTCCACTCTCGCCGAAAATAAAGGAACGCGCTCTAGGGGTCGGGTGCGAGGGCCAAGGTGTTCAGGCGTTCAGGTTCTGGTTTTAGGGCTCGGGTGTTCGGTTCGGCTTAGGGTGTCAGGGTGAGGGTGTCAAGGTACGTAAAGGCGTTCG